GAAGTCAGTTGACGTGCTGCTTGCAGTTTTTTTTTCAAACCCCGCTCTAAGCTCTTAACCATCTGCGTCTTTTTTTTCAGTAACGTTTACAGATCTTGGAAATCGATACCTGGTGGTTTCCACTAGAAACAGTCCATGCACAAGGCTTTAACCTCTCCACTCCCACCCCCGCAGATTCTTCACCCGTGGCAAGCCAAGTCAAGCACAAATACTTTTTTTTTGTTACATTGCGATGTTAAAAAACACGTCTCTGGAAATCTAAGAGCTGACTGTGCTCGAACCGCATTTCTTCATCGGGGCTTTATTTTACATTTGTAAGAGTTTGTAAAAGTGGCAGCGCACGGACGCCAAGAGCTTTCTAAACTAGACATTTTTAGAGAGGGACCTACACAAGCCTAGCGTGGTTTCTACAAACATACGAGAGTGATTATTTCAGCATTAGACACTTATACCAGCTTGAAATGCTAAAGAGGGTCCCTATCTCCAAAAGGGAAATTGCATCAGCATGGACAATGTTAACAGTGTTTAGTGTGATGTAATATCTATTAACCATTAATGACATTCACAAGAGTAAAGAAGTTCACGAAGATATTTTTCGTCCATGATCGACCTTTCACCAGAGTTGGATAGTATTATAGCTTTTACAATCAGGCACACTACTTATAGCTACATTTCCAGATTGAGAAAAGTAAGCCTGCTGTTACTAATGCAACCTGTAGTTCTTCTTAAACTGCTGCAGATACAAAGAGGCTTCTGTGTTTTATAATTTCTATTTCAGACAGTGCTAATGAGTCACTGGCATAAATGTGTTGTGGTTTTCTAATGATTGTACAAACAGAGCAAAAAAAAAGTCTATTCATTGAAGTGTGGCATAAAAATAGCAAAGAAAGTTCTAACTGTTTTAAAAACTATGTGCAATTTGGATTTCCAACAGCTGGATTTATTTTTTTATTGGCTAACAGGAAGACTGTGTGCTACAACAAGTTGCAGTTAAAGGAAGAAACAATTTAGTTTGAGTGTGAGTTGAGGCATGAAAGGTGTAATGCTTATTTAAAAAGAATGACAAAAAACTGCACATTTGGGAAGAAGAGCTGATGAATGTGCAAGATTCCTCTTTCTTGGTATATTGAAGACCATTTTATTATCCTGATTTTGTGACATTCTCACTCTAAAGTACTTCACATGAATTGGGGAGTGGGAGAGAAAATGAAGAAAATGTATTTTATGTCCAGAGGAGCAAAACTGTAGATGTTCATACCATTGGGTTTCCTTTGATCCAAAATGTGTCAGAGCTGTCTAAGAGGAAGTTGCATCAGATGAATTAATGTTCCGACAAGTCCACCCAAGAACATTTGATGTAAAAATCCTTTACCAAGCCAGATACAATTATGTAGTTCATTTGAATTATTGTTCTAAATCATAGCCTGAATAGTTTGAAAGTTAAGAATGTCTGTATGGTAACACTCACTGGCAGTAATGCAGAGATACTGTGACAGTGCCATTTTACTGGCTTTCAGTTACAGGGAGCATTTAACCCAGATTGTTTCATACTGTTAGAATACGTTTGGTTTAGCAACACCAACTGGAGAGACACAGTGTGAACCAAAATAATTATGAACATTGGGATTATCAGAACCCAATAATATTGGTAGAATTGGATCAAAGGACAGACTTGGCCAGCATTTCCTAGGTTCATTTGCTACAAGCTAATTTTACATGCACAGCTTGGCCTAATATTACGCTAAGACATTTTGATGAAGCAGAAGTCAAGCTTTTTGACAGGATAATAACAAATAATGAACAGTTGTGTAGAACTTTATAAATGAACCAAGGCCTCTTGTACCAAAGAGAGAAGAGCAGTATATCAGTTGTATTTGAATGCTGACATATATTCCTCTTCAGTTTATACAATTCCATCTGTTGCTAATCGAAATGAGACACAGAAAGAGCAGAGTTAGCAATGTTTCCAAACTACACATCTGAGACTATTGTAACATGAATAAGTTTGTGCTGCAGTATTATAACACAGAAGAAAAGTTGCTGTTGTTGATGAAGATCACTGATTTATCTTAGCAATAATATTCTCCCTTGTACAGTACTATAAACCTTTGTCTCAAATGTAAGAAATTTAAAATAATTATCATATATAACCAATTATAATGATACAATAAGAAGACAGATGCTGAGTGTAATACGTGACTGTAGTTTGTAAACCTGATATACCATAGACCTTCAGTAAATGGCAATTCCTGATAGTTTTCCCATAAAGATACCACTGACGCACAAAGACCTTCTTACAAAAATGGAACAAAATCATTCACATCCGCTCCTGATTTTTTTCCACCTCGTCTCACTTTTTCTTCCAAATATTGTGGGCTAAAGAGGCCTGGATCTTATCAGAATAGTTGCATCGCACTATTAGGAACACTATTGGTTCTCTGTTCTTTAGCGCTCTTACTGGGAGGCATCTATGGTGTAGGATGAATGATTTAGGGGTTCAAGACATAGTTTCAGCTGAAAGGTAAGAGCAGAACTCCAGGAAGACAGTAGCTTCTTGTTTTATACCTGCATGTTGTTTCATGTTGTGGTATAAGTATTATAGAAATGATGATAATTATATTGTAGAAACAAGACAAAGTGCTAAATATTCCACAGCCCCGGTGTTTCTTATGCAAGATAGCTTCTAGCAAGAAAAGTAACATTATACTGAACCTAATGAGTAATACATACAGTAACTTCTTCATGTGTGTTTGTTACACAGTGCTACAGCTATACAATGCAGTCCTGTCTGTCTGATTTTTACAGAATCATACACATCTATGGGGAGGACAAAGTAGAACGAGATAATATTAAATTTTGTACTATATACTTCAATTTTAATATAAAACCTCGTTCAACCTCTTACCCTTTTTCTAAGCATTGGAGTGGTTCAAATCATTCACAAACAATGTATGCATATACTGATTAATCTGATGTACAGTGTTATGTTCTTTTTTAAGAGAAAGTATTTGTCCAAATTAAAGTCACCCTTTGATTATAAAATATGGGAGACCACTTGTATTTTAAGCTACTAATAATGACTTCTTGTTACTTTTACCTTGATAACTGCTTACAAAACAGAGAATTAATTAGGGACATTTTTAGTTGAATTATTTAAACAGTAACATCTTCTACTGAAGACCACAGTAGATTCTGTTTCATAGTAGTCAAAAAGTAAATATTCATTTTAATTACAAAAAAAGGTCTTTGCACAGTAACAGCTACAAATACAATAGAGGCACAGGTATTGCCTGTTAAAATATCAGTACTAGATTATTCATATACAATTTAGTAGAAATCTATTGATATAGACTTGCCAATGAGAGAAGGACATGTAGAATGTTTGGTTGCTGGTAGCAAATAGATCCCAGATTCTTGTCCAGGTTCTTGTTGTTGAGGGAAGGGGACCAGACTCGTTAATTAACATTAAACACAGGACAGCTTTCCTTTATGCATCAGTGCAGAGGTTACTTCACTTTTCACATCTCTTAAAAGTGCCTAGTCCAAATTCTTGAACATTTAAATGAAAATATGTCAAATGCTACTTTTTATCTTTTTCATACCCATAGTAACCGTTACATAGTTGTACTCTCGAGCATTTACAATTAAGCATTCATTTTACTTCAGAATAACCCTCTACAGTGGGCGGTATGGTGGTACTGTACAGTGGTTAGCATTGCTGCCTGGCAGTACTGGGTTCCTGGTTTCAATACCTAGGGTGCTATCTGTGTGGAGTTTGTACTGTATATTCTCCCTGTGTTTAAGTGGGTTTCCTTTGCATGCTCTAGTTTTTTCCCAAACACATGCTGGTAGGTAATTGAATTGCTGCTAAATTAATTTTAGCAGCTGTTAATTAGCACCTGGGAAAAGCTGGCCCAGGTACAGTATGAATGTGTGTGTATTTGTCTGTGTCTGCATGTGCCCTGAGGTGGACTGGTGTTCCATCCAGGATGTATCCTGCCTTTTGGCTGTTGTTTGCTGGGTTAGGCTCCAGCTTCCCCTGACCTGTACTAGTTAAAGCAGTTGGAAGATGGATGGATAACCCTTTAGAAAATAAGCATGTTAATATTTATTGGATTAAATTTAGCAGCAATTCAATTCAAAACATTTTTACATGATTAAATACAAATAAGGAGAAATTGGATTTGTTCATTTGTGTTTGTTATTCTCACTTGTCACAACAGGGGAACATTTCTGATATACAAAGTAACAGTCAGGTTAGACCAGAACATTACTGTCAGGACACAATGCAGAATTCCAAACCTTTGGCACAAGCCACGACATTGTACTGTAATTAAAGTAACTACCTGGAAGCATCAACGTCTACGGCTTCTGTAATAACAGCCATTGGATTTTTTCCGATCTTCAAATCAATTTGGGGATGCAACAGGACAGCGGTTAGCAAACATCCAGCTATCCATCTATTTTCTAGCTGCATGTTTTAAATCAGGAAGAATTTTCCTGAATTCCATTTTCTAGCCACTTTTTTTAATTCAGGGTCATTGAGGAGCTGAAGCCTATCCCAGCAAGCAATAAGCGCAAGGCAGGATACGCCCTGGAGGGGACGCCAGTCCATCGCAGGGTGTGCACACAGGGACTAGAGGAAACCAGAACACCCAGAGGAAACCCATGCAAGCACAGGAAGAACATACTAACTCCCTGCAGAATGCAACCCAGGGCCCCAGTGCTAAACACAGTGCCGGTTGTTAACAAACATTGTGGTCCTAAGAAAGAAGGATTTTCAGGACATTTAGAATAGAATTAGGAGAATCCCTCATATTTATTCACTCTTTAATGTGTTTTCTTATTGTAGCTCCAGCAAGTGTCAAGTGGCACATTGTTAATCCTGTACTTACTTCTTTCACTAGTGGGCCTGAGATAGTGATCACCATCCTATCAAGTAAATTCAGGTTAATAAACAGTATAACTTAATAATTGAATGCTTTTTTTGTTTCTTTAAGATGGCCACCATATATGGGAAACAGAAGCAAAAGTTGACAAGGACTCGTTCAAGTCTGTAAGTAAAGATTAATCAGTGCTGAAACATTACATCTGTCATAACAACATAACTTTATGAAAGGGACTTGGGGAACTCATATTCTTTTTAAATAGAAAAGCCAGGAAAGTTGAGTAACACTTTAATGAGTTCAAACTTCAGAAACACAACTGAATTATAATGAACCAATGGTTTGCTCTAGTAAAATATTTCTGAAGCAGATCAAAGAATTTACAAACATGAAGAATGCAACATAGAAAGACAAAAAACTATGAGAAACCACAACAAACGCAATTGGTCTTGTAGTATTACAACCCAGTTCTCACACTATAAAAAAGGAAGACATTTAGCCTGCCACTTTTAATATAACTAAATTCAATTCAAGGTCAGTTTACATTATATAATACACATTTTAATGTATTTCTTTAAAGATAGACACTTAAATATATTTTATTACAATATAATAGTTTGTATTATAATTGTATTTTTTATTTTCATGTATTATATTATAGTATATAAATTGGGAACTCTTTTGTGATGAAGGTTCAGGCTGCTCCTATAACAGTTCATCCAGTTTGATTTTTCAGGGAAGGAAACAAAAAGTTGAGACCTTTTTTTACATAAGGCTTTCTTTGGGGGGGCAGACACTGACATGCTACGGATGTTAGAAAACCCACAGCTGCACCTTTCTTGTCTTTGCATGGCAAGAGCTTATTTCCATTCTGGGTTCTGAGCACATCCTGCATTAAAATCTGTCTGTCTGAAAGATAAATGGGCTGTAAAAATCTGTGTTGTTGTAATACTGGACATAGACCATGGTAAACTGTGTTTTGCCAGCTGTAAACCCCTGTGATGTTTTCAGAGACAGACACTGTGTTCATTAGTCTCAGCTGCCAAGTGGGACGCATACCAAGGTTGGATCACTGTGGTAGCTGGAATACAGGTGGCATCAAGACTAGCTGAGTGATTTCTCACTTTTACCAAGATAATTAATGCCCCTGTGCTTCTCCAGCTCCTCATGGATAGTATCATTAGCCGCAAAGCTGCATAATCCCTGTATAATTAAACTTCATATGAATCTAAAATGCCTATCGTGGACAAACCAAGGAAGAATTAAGCTTTCAGATCTGCAATTTTTGTCCATCAAACACAGAATAACATGGACTTTATTTGATCTTTTTCTGGATTTCACTAAATATTCGTACCATGTTTGAAGCTAATGAAATGTGCTCTTGTTTTATTCTATAAAAGCAAGTAAAGCCATTGTACACTTTTCCAGGACTGTATTTTCTTGTGCTTAATTGAAAAAATGGCCATCTTCTTTAGCAAGGAGCCTGCTTTAATATCTGAATGTTTTTCTATTATTATGCAAAGGTCTCTCTCTGAGACATTACACTGAATGTGTTTTAGTTTTGTCTACAAAGCAGCCTTTGGTTTTCCCCTCTCTAGATGGTTGTAATTGTCAACAGGGATTCCATTTCTCACTTCCCAGTAATGAACTGTGGCAATTTCCACTTGTTAGGGTGCCAAGTACCAAACATAAAATATATATTTTTAATATTTTATAGACCTTTTTCCTTTCAAATTATATTTTGTATTGCATCACTTGGGTTGAACTTGGGCGTATTCTGTGAAGACTCAGTTATTAAAGAAGGTTAAAAAATAATAAGTAGAACTCTATTCTTTTTACTTAAATATTGTGGATGTTAAAATCACATCCACATACATGTCTTGTCATATTGGGCATCACCTTTCTTACATGTTTGAAACAAAAAACAATAATATAGAACATGTAGTCTGTAACTTAGCTTCATATAGAAGTGAGCTGAAAAAGACTTTTACAACCTCGATCCAGAAATCTGATTCCTTTTAAACAATGACTGTTCTTGCTAGTTTTACTCTTTGGAAAGTCCTATTTTTTTACAAATTTGGGACCAAAGATTATATGCCCACTTCATTTAAAATATCAGATTTTGCTTCTCGCCTAACAGTGATGACCCCTGTACCCACATGGGGAGAATGAGGAAAAGCAAACAGGCTTCTCTTAATTGTCTATTTATCAAGCCATTCATCTTTAGTCATGCTTCAAGCTCTTTAATGAGACACAAGTCGTTCAGTTCTGATTGGTAGAGAGGTGCAGCTCTCAGTGATGTCACTGCAAGCATCACTGTTTTACACGTAGCAGAATAAATAATCAAACACCACCCTAGCAGTGCAGAGCCAATTGTGGAAGGTCCCTGTCTTAATATTTTTTGTCATGTGTGCTGCAATTCACCAATAAAGTCATTTTGTTAAAAGGTAAATTCGATGGATAGTTAACACATGTAAATTGGTTGTGAAGCAAGTAGAAAGGTCATTTGTGTCCACAATTCTCATCAATTTTGCTTCAAGAACAATTGGAATGTAAACTGTGAATGGCTTGATCTGTTTTTTGAACTGCGGCTCCTTCTGAGAAACAGCACATCTATTGACCACAGATATTCGGCCCACCCAGGCTGAAACTGGGAAAGACAATTTCCTATTCATAGAGGGCTTGTCTTTGAAACACTAATAAAAAAACTAAAAAAGATTTGTGTAAGATCTTCTCCTGTCCTTGAGTATTCACTTAAAACATGTCTACCCTCCATTGTTTAGAAGGCTGAAAGTGAATTAAGTTGTTCCAGAAGCCATCTATTATAATGACTGGATATAGCAGTTTGTGACGGAAAAAATATTGGTGTTGTGGTAGAGCCTCAAGGGGATAAATCACCAATAGCACAGTGCTTTCTGCATCTTGAAGCAATGGGAATGATAAGGAACCTCCAGCTCACCTCACCTAAAACTATTAGAAAAAAAAATGAGAGACAACAATTAAACTAGCCACCTTTGGAAGGTACTGTAGAAGCAAACTGGAGCACTGTGACACATTGCACTTTATGTATTTATGCCATACCATGACATGCTATCTGGAATGCATATGAAAAGATGGGAGGATCCATGTAAATCCTCTTGAATTTCTTGGATCAGCATCAGCAGTGAAGCATAAGCCAGACGACACATGTAGAAATTACAGGGAAGTTTATTTAAAAAGGATAGCAGGAAGTAGTTTTTAGAGAGTTGTGGAAGTCTGGAACGAGGTACACAGTCATGTTATTAAAGCTGATACCATGGCTTCCTATATGACAGAATGGGAGTATCTGAAATGGATGGATAAATAGATAGAATTCTCTTTTGGAGAGTTTTTCCTTAGACGGCGTGTCCTTTTTGTGTTGCAGACTACATTGGTGGTGGAGATTCCCTCATACCGCAATAAGGGCTTAACCAGCCCTACCCAGGTGAATTTCTATGTCTGCAATGGGAAAAGGAAGAGAAGCCAGTACCAGCGCTTCACCTACCTTCCAGCGAACGGTAATCTTCAATGTCTCATGTTTTCCCTTGTTTGTGCCGAGTCTCATCCGCCACTCCTGCACTCCGTTCAAATCTCCAGGCCTTGTCACCAACTCTAAGGATATTAAACTGTCGACACTACTGGAAAACCCCTAAAACATTGACGTAACATGCTGGTTCTCATATGTCTTCAAACATTCTGAGTCATATTTTATGAATTAAAGTATGGAAGTGGACTTTATTTCTTCAAATTTTATTTCCAGACCACACTCGTCCTGACCAACAAAATAGTTGTGAGGCCTTTCCCAAATATTTGTCAGGCAAATACCTGTATCTCCTTTGTGTCATACATGCTTATAACAATACATAATCCTCTCTATTAGGGTGGGGAAGTCAAGTGGAGTTTCAGACTTAAAAAAAACTAGCAAGACGTGTTCTATTGTATTCTTAGGCAAATATGTCTTTCATTAATTAAAAAGTGTTCGCTTTGAGATATTTACAATTTCTGGGTGAAATTGTGCATATAACCATTTAAGGTTTTGTAATAATATGGACATATCTCTTAAAAGTCATTTTGGACTGGACTCAGATAAAGGCCTTTCTAGCTTTATACTGTATATGTCTGATCTTACTTATCTGTGTTGGTTTTGTGTGAATGTAACAGGGTTTATTATGTTATGTGACATAGTAACCTGTGGGTTCTCAAGATTGTATGGAGCCAGATTGATTTGGGATTCACCTTCAAGTGCCTGGCCTGCACAGCCAAGGCAGGCATTAGCCCATGATGCTGACCCCTGGCTTTTGGGAGTTTGATTGCTCTTTAGTCCTGAGCCATAATGCCACTGTAATATGATCAAATAGGATCAAACCATTGTTTGGTATAATAGATGTGCCCGCCGTTTGGTATAATAGATGTGGTATTCTTTCTGACTGAATTTCGGATTTGGCTTTCATTCAGTGCCTCTTGAGTAAAAGGTGTACCTGAAATGCCAGTGAAAATCAGAGGTTGCACCTTTATTGGCTTTATACCATTTATTTATAAAGAATCTGATCAACTGAGAGGAAATACTTTATCCTCAAAGGATTGATGTCATCCTGGAAACTTACTCCAAATCAAATCAATCCTTCATCAAAAAATGAATCTGCTGTGAGTAGATCGTGCTTCATGAAGTCTGTAGCAGCGATCACTCATTTCTAGCTCATAAAAATAAAGTTCAGTAGCATTTAAAAGAATAGCAACTCCAAGTACTCATGTGGCTAAATAAGTTAAAACCCACAGTGAACTTTAGTAGGACCACATCATATGTAATTATTTGTTCTGGATGATTGATATTTTAAGAACTGTGAAGGTCAGAAAGGGTTTTTTATTATCTCTAATGCTGTGTGGCAAATTCTTGCCATTTCAGCTATCCCTGAATCAACCTGAAGATTTGCTTTAAACTGTAACTTAAGGTCAAGGTCCTGTATCTTTCTCTTATTATAGAGTAGCCTGGAATCCAAGGAAACACCCAGTTTCATTCATTATGGATTTTAAGGTGGTATAAAAATACAATGAGAAATGTTTCATACAGTATAATCTGTACATTGTTATAGGAATTAACTTGTGTCAGATATGGCAATTCTGTGGGTACAGTTACATGTAAATAGAGGCCAAGAAGCAACGACACAGGACAATTTCTGTTACAGCTCAGCAGGATATGACAGGCAGTCTTCGGAGGGAGATTATCTTGCAGATTTACAAATGCTTTATAAACATTTGTAAACAGAGAGCAGTATAAAGATGTAATATTTAAACTGATAAGAGAATCAAAGTGTAATTAATGTTACACTTTTTATGGGGAGGAGATATATACAGTAGTTTTTACATAGGACTACAGTATATGAATGAGAGAAAAATGAACTTAAGCTATGATGTACTGAATAACATACTGAATTGATGTCTTTCTCAGTTAATTGGGCTTTGAATCAGTCAGCATGTTTACTTTGTTACCAGACTCTCACAGCCAAAATTTCACTCATTGCTTCCAACACAGTGCTGAAGAGTGGTTCCTTACAGGTTAAGTCTTTACTTGAAACCTTATTGTTTTAGAATAGGATCATGTTGCTAGGAGGAATATCATGATTATGAAACACTTAAAATTAAGTTTCATTCCCACAAATAAAACAAGCCACTTGAAGCTCACATCCGCTGCTGTCTAGTATATTGCTGTAAATCTTCTAGGTTAATTCTATTAGTTTATTGGAAAATGTGTTTCAGATATTTTGAACTATGACTATAAAGGTTAAACTGGAAATCTAGCAAGAGACAACAAGTGGCTTGAAAAAGATTTATTTCACCAAATCAGTTGGTTTCTAACTTTTTGCGCAAAGCTCAGCCTACCAATGCACTGGAGAACAAACCTTTGAACATCATTATCTAGAATTGTTCCTGACAATGCAGCTTCAACAATAATGTTTAATAACATAACAACTTATCTCAAAAAGTGTAATTATATGAATATATCTATTGTGCCAGATTCATTTTTACCATGTTCCCTGACTGTTTTGTTTTTTTTTGTCCCAAGTTAATTAAAAGATAAGTAGATAATATTATCTGTCATGATAATATTAGCAATTATGTGGCCTAGGTTTTCATCTTTATAATTTTCACAGTTCTTCAGGATATATGATGGTTTATAATGAGCAGCAGTTCAGTCACATCTGATAGGAAAATGACTTAGACTGCCATGTTAGAGAAGGCCCATATTTGGAGATGCAGCTTTGCTGGTGGCAAATTTGCTATGGGTAACTGTCATGGGATATTTGGCTGTATCAGCCCACATATTTGTGCAATAGATTTCATCACAGTCCCATAACTGATCCTGATTAAGGCTGAAAGAATTGCTGTTTTGGTGTTACACATTTACGTATATAAAGTATAATGTGTACTTGTTTTATCTTTTTATCTTTGAGCGTACATTAATATTTAGTGCATTTAGTGCTGACAGCATATTTTTATGGATAGAGACTTTGAACTCCCTTTTAGAAATGCTTAAGTAAAATAGACTAAAGTTGCTTTAGTAAACATACTACCATTTCATTTTGAGGACCTTGTGAGGATACAAAAAAGTGGAAAGGTTTAAGTGAACATTGACTTTTAGTTTTATTTATTGTTTGACACTAAATGATCCCATAATATACATAATGGCAGTAGTGACTAATGTTTAGTTTAATTCAGATGTTGTTATATGGACGTAATGTGTAAATAGAGGAGGTGCAAAGTAGACATTAAAAGGCAAATAGATACTTTGGTATATAATATTGTTAATAAACAATTGTTGTATTGTAATTTGCATGTAGAAGTATTAAGGATGGTTAGGAAGCAATGTATAAATCCAAAGTAAGACATCTGGTGAAATTTTAAATCTGCTTCCAATATACTGTATCTCCCAAAATATCTCCCAATAGAGAAAAGCATCTATACTTAATCCATGGTTGAAAGATCAAGACTTAAGCTGACATTTTTAAACAAAATTAAGCGTCTCTATTCAAGAGTTCCAAGCTTGTCCAGAGGATGTGTTGTGTTGTCCAGAGTTTGATGTCTTAAGTCAGGACAGTGTCATCAACCAGATGTGACCAGGATTATCAATCCCTGAAACAGCAGCAGGGGTCCACTGGTATTTCCCGGTGTTTGCTGTGTAATAGTGTGCGCTGTGGTTTACCTTGTGTGTGAGTTTGTCGTTTTTTGCTTTAGGGAACAACAGGTGAAACTAGTCACACATGTTTCTTCAAGCCATTTGAAAGCAATAAAGGTGACAGCTTTGGCTATTTCAAGCATAAGTCAACCAGTAACATGGAAGGGCATAAACAGGGACATTAAAAGAAATGTAATTAAAATTATGAATCCTTGGAATCACTGGGAATGATATATTTTGCACTTAGATACTTCTAGATCAAGTTTAAAATGATAAGGATTTCTCATAATATACTGGAGGATGCATCTGATGGTCCTGGACTTTTAAACAGTACACAGTGGGTATTCATTCTTTCTCCTAGGCTGAATTTTCCAGTGTTCTCTTATTAAACTCTTATTTTGTAAAAAGATCATTTTCTTGGGGAAAAAAAAACAAAGTTTTGTTTGACCAAACTAACACACTGTGCTTCCCCAGGGATTCAGGTTATTGCCTTTGTAACCAATCAACTTTTAAGATTTTACTCTGGAGATATTTGAAGAAAATTCTTTGTTCATGCAGTGTTGATAAGGAATTGATAAAGGATAGCTAAACATTCTTATTATAGGAGAAATGCCTACATTAAGACAAGACTATGTATCATAATTTAATACATATAATACAAAAGGCAGAAACACGTTCTCTGAATATATTTTAATGCTATGTCTATATAATGACTTTTTGCGTTGTATTTTCAGGTTTTTTTTAAGGATTTTTGGAGTACAAAAACAGGGATTCTCCTTCAATTATTTTTAAAACCTTGTGTTAGGGGAAACATAGCGTAGCTGCCCATAAAATGTTTCAGAGTTTTAGTTCCACACCTGGATTAAAAAAATAATTGGGCCCATGTGCCAAGTACTCTTGATTCTGTACAGTATGTGATGGGTAGAACAATGAAGTCCAAGGCAAATAGGCAAATGAGAAGCTGCCTGTAGATTTGCAATTTACAGCACAGGACTGTAATTAAAAAAAGCACCCAAGTGGATCAGCATTTTGGTTTAATTACCTGCTCAGACACCACACTTGTAATGTTTCTCACATTTACTTTGAGGATGCTACAATAGGATGCATAAATTATATCAGACTGACCATCATACAATAGCAATGGAAGAAAAAAACAAGTAAAGCACTCTCTTGCACTTCAAGTACCAGACACAGAGTTCCATTTGTGGTTTTATTCTGAAATAATACAAAGGAAAGTAGCAGTTATAAGTGTTTTTTAATCAAAATAACACTACCATGAAAACCATTTTGCTGACAAAATAGGAAAGTTACCCTGAAAGGTGGGTGGATAATCTGGCTCCTGAACTG